GGTATCTCCACAGGGACACAAGTTAGGAGGTGATAGAATCCGGAGAGGGGTACTGCCTTTTTTAATAAGCCCACCCACCATCCCAGAAAGATTTAGGTTTCATCTTACCTACGCTACAAGCATTCTTCAGAAGCCACGTCAGTAAGCTACAAGCCCACCTTTTCCCTGACCCCTACCCTCAAAAAGCCTGCCAAAAAAACCTGGCCATAAAAAAGGGTCTTAGCCTGTAAGAGACACGTTCTTTGTTCTGCTCGCCGGAACAGGGAGGTCCCTCTCTGGTTCAGCAATAACTAAAAGTTTAGCTTGGACTGTGGAGTTCGCATTCCCCTCTTTTCCTTTCTGGAGGCTCTTGCAAGAGATAAACGTCCAAAGGGGAGATTGCAGCTGAAAGACAATTCTCAGGTTGAAGGAACAGAATCTGGTCAAGGATTAGCTGTAGGGTGTAGGAGGAGCTGCCAGGGGAGACGCCCTGGTTTCTAGTCTCAGGGGCTCTGTTGGAGAGTGGGGGGAATACAGGAGGCAGCCGAGACTGAAACCATGGACGGGGAAGAGAACGAGCTCCACTTTGAATGTACTGATTTGGGAAAACTAAGGTACACCCGTGTACATACATGTGTACGTGAAACAGTTGTAAATATAGGCCGAATCAAACTGGAGCGAGTTTCCATGAATGAACAATGGGGGACGGTGACAAACCCCAGGGAGAATGCCAGGAGGATGAGCGCTGGAGGTTTGTAATGCAACCTAGCAGTTAGGAGAAAATTCAGAAGAGTCAGAGCAGAAGCCAGAAGAAGTTAGGTTGAAAAGTGAGTGGGATGTGAAGAATGAAGAGTATGGGGCTTTTTCAAGAGTTGGGTGAAAAAAGGGAAGAGAAAGGTGAGTGTTTGGAAGAAGGATGGAGTTGCAGGAGGGATTTGAATCTCCTTGCTGACTACTGATACCTCTCCTTTCCCTCGTACTGACCTTTTCCCAGAATCTTTTTAGAAGCAGGCTAGGCATAAACAATAAATGCTGTTCCCCGGTGAGGGGCTTCCTCCCAGCAGACTGGAGCCCTGCAAAGCATCTTGTCCAGGGCCTCGTGCACAGCCCCTGGGGTCAGGAGGAAGCTCCATGCACAGGAAATAATCACCTTTTTCTGGTCAGGTCAACTGCTCAGGGAGAAATCACCTGGTGTTCTAGACCCACCAGTAAAACTGAGAGCAGACTTTTAAGAATTTACTCCCTTTTTAGTTACAGTATCATTTGTGTGTAAGTGTTTCTTTTTACAACTCAGAATACAGAGATGAAATTTTAGTAAGTGTTTCATCACTGCTTTTAATCATGTTATCAAATCTCCCTTTCCCATCTCTGAACATCTGGAGTAGAATCTAGAAGTTTCTAGAGTATTTGATTGCTGAAACATGCCCGGTGCAGGATCTTCTGCCTGATTCAGAGTGCACCTCCCCCCTGTGGGCTGCTCCAGGCTCTGGCCCGTCTGGGAAGGTGGGGGAGAAAAGGGGCCGAGAGCTTGTGCCTGGAGCAGGGGCTCCTAACCTCTTCTGGGCGTCCGATGGAAACTATGGAGCCTTTCCCTGTAAGTATAAGCCTTTGCAAATACATATTTCCACCCAATCTCAGACAGTTCAACTTTCCCCCTCCCCAGTCCTATCCCAGGTGAAGAACTCTAAGCATAGAGTCATTTTTTAGTCAAAAAGTGAAAATAGCAGTGGTAGGGACAGTCTGCAGATCGATTAAACTTCTTAGCAGATAATTTGGCAGCACTTACCAAAGAGCTAATTTTTAAAGAAAATTCTCTGTGCCAAGAATTCTATTTTGGGGAGATTCATATAAAGTAAATAACTAAGGCTTTGGGGTGGGGAGGGATTATCACAGTACATGTATAATAGGTAAAAATCAAGAACAAGCTTACATGTCCAACAATAAGAACTGGCTAAAGATGAAACATCTCAAATTAGAGGTTCTCTCGTGTGGCCCTGGGGCCTGAAAATGTGAGAGGTGCTCTCCTGCTCTTTGTTGCTGTTTCAAAGCAGTTTTCTTCACAAGCTTCAGCTCATTTTAAGCATAGACCTAACGCCACCTCCTGGCAGCACACCTACCGACTTCCTGGTCACTGTCCCTTTCCCACTGAGCGTTCAGCATCTGAGTCCCTCTCTTCCTCTCTCCAGCCCTGCTCTCGCCCACGTTCCTTCTGGTTGCTTCAGCAGGCATCCAGTGATACCCCAGCCTCCCAGGTCCCGAAGCTCCTCAGCTCTTACTGCCTTTCTCCACCTCACCCCAGTCACCTCCTCTCATGACCTCACCAATAACTATGCCAACCTCTAAAATACAAGTATATTGTATATAATAATTTGTAATCCACTTATCCCCTTTATATAATAAACACTTTCCTTAGCAGCATCGTTTTCAACAAATGTAAAGTATTTCATCATGTGAGAAAAAACACAATTTAATTAATCCACCACTATTAGAAATTTAGGTTTACCAATTTGGGGTTAAGTAAAATAACATGCCTCCTGTTTGACAGCCTTTTTCTCACAGTGGTACCAGCATGGTTGAAAAAGCCAAACATTTCACATAGTGTCTGGGTTTCCAGGGGAATGTTGGGATCCCTAGGGTGCCTGATCTGCCCCTTCCGCGTTAGCTCATGGGTCCACCTATTGCATGGGTGGCAGACAGGGGATCTGAATTAAAATTAGAATAGACGGCCCCCTGGAACCCCCTTTGTTCTTGTTTTCCTGAGGCACACCATAAAGATTTAGGCCTGTACGACAGTTGAAAATAAAAAAATAAGAGTCATGAGCTTCGACACTCAAGGCCATTTCATTCAAGATGGTATTGTCAATACAGATACTTCTTATTACAAACCTCTTCATTAGGAAAAGTACATTATTTAGGGCCTGGTTTCTAAGAATGAAGAGTCTGAGGAAACAGAAAAATAGCTTTCAGGTGGGTAACAAATTGCCAAAACTTTTCTTGATTTTCAGATCTTGAATTTTTATATGAAATCACATTTAATTAGAACTAACACATCAGCAGGAACATGACATGCAACAACTGGCCCTCCTCATTTGAACATTACATCCTCATTCTAAGGAATATTTGGGAGAGGAAATCACTAAAAATCTAAGGGAAAGAATTTAAATCCCTACAAGCTACCATTTAAAGAAGGTGGCTGTTGTACTGGGAACACAGTAGGTGTTCGAATATTTCCTGAATAGTGGAGGTAATAACGAATTGATAACTAGCTACGAGATTTTCAGGGGGTAAGAAATCATTTAATCCGTATTTCCAACTTTTATTTCTAAAATCTATCATCTTTTCTATCTATTCATTGAAAGACAATGTAAGAAAAATACTAACCATTTTATTCTCTTTCCATGAAGAAATGAATCGTCCCTCATGAAAAAGCCTTCAAACGAAGTAACAGAGATTGGTTTGGGCTAAGAAGATGTTATTATGAAAATAATCATATACTTATAACAGTTTGCAGAGGGGACTCATGAAAACGACACCCACAGAGACTTCTGAAAACAGTACAGAGACAGTTTCAGGATCCTATAGCTATAATATCACTCCTCCCCACCCCCCCGAAAAAAACCAGAAGGTAGACCAGATTAACTTTTCAGATCTTCTCCAGCTCTGGAAGAAAATCAAGTAGACTTTTTGCATTTATAAAATGAATTGGCTTTTTTAAAAATAAAGTGGATATAACTAGAGCTTGGAGCTTGCAAACTACTGCTGGAATCGAAGTCACATAAAATATAAAATCAGGCAGTAACAATCGAGCAACATCAGTGTGCCTCTGTGGGCCAAGCATGAGCCAGTGGGCGCACTGCCTGGGCCACTGCCAGTCAGGACACCTGGTGGGATGGGTCTGATGGCTGAGATAACATAATCCTTCCCTTGGTCTCTTACTCCTTCTTGCCACTTCTGTCAAAATCCAAGCCACAGAAACTATCGCATTGTGTTGAATCCTTCTGTGAGTGACCTGGAATCTATTTCTTCAGTGTGACCACCCTTTAGTGTCCAGAACTGTTGGGTGTTGGCTGAATTCCATTCAACCTTCAAACATCTAGCATTTGTCAGGCTCTTTACTAAGCATGAGAAATGCCAAAAGCTCTTTCTCAGTATGCTGGGAACTGCCCTTTGGGTCCTGTGAGTAAGAAGGTATGCCCTCACTTTTCCTACTCACTCCTGGAAAAATACCTTGAAATGTGTAAAAGTTGTGGCCACATATCCCTTCCTATGGAAATCTGAGCACAGCTAACCAAAAGGAACCAGACTTCCCGGATGAGAGCTCCCCACGGCACACCCAAGAGGTGCCATGAGGTGGCAAGTCCTTGCCAAACTTTTCAACAGACCCATCATTAGAACATCAACCAGAAGTAAATATGAGAAGCTGTACTGCTGTGTTAAGTTTTTCGAAAGACAAAAATATGGGTAACAACATCCTATAGTATGCTTCTCCCTTAGGGAAAAAGATTCGTTAACTTCAAAAATAAATTATTATCCAATTTCACTGTTCTGAAAAATGAAGATGGGAATGGGGGAAGAGGTGTTCCTTTGTTGTTTTAGGCTGTTTTGTATTTAACTACACTATGAGAAAGACTATCTTAAGCAAACTCTTACATTTTCCTTGTACTATATTCAATAATTTGAGAGATATGACATCTGTAATTTTTGAAATGTAGGGAATTAGAAGAAATAAAATCTAGCAGAAGACAGGGACAAATACTAGTAACACAGGTATGCTGATTCCTGGGTTCTTTTAACAACCATGCTGTAAGATGGAAATCTGTACTTTTTCAAATCACTACCTATACCACTGATTAGGGCTACAAACATAGCAAATAAACCTCTACTTCTGATTTCAGGACAGTCAGTAGGATGGCCTTCCTTCCAAGGTGAAGTTTAAGTGAATTCCAGGAAGGAGAAAGAGTAACAGTGAGCAGTGGCAGATCTCAGAAGCAGTAACTTCATGGTGGAAACTGGCCTCTTACCTTCGAAGAACTGCTGCAGGGCCTCATTTTCGCCTACCATGTCCATGGTGCTGTGGGCCCAGGGATACCTTCTCACAGCGCAAGGGCTATCAGACCCCAGGAGGTATGTGCAGTCCTCCTGACTTGAAGCCTATGAATGCTCTTGAAAAGTCTTCATTTTCTTTTTATTGGAGTGGAGCATATTTTCAGCCATCTAATTGTACCCAGAAAGATAGTTAAGTTTTCATAATGATTTTAAAACTAGGATCGGCAAACTATACAGAAAAAAAAATTCATGAAAAGGGAAGTGGTAGCAAATCCATCTATCTGATTATCAGGAAGTGTGTCTACTCTGCCTTCGTCTGTTTCAAGGACCTTTGTCCTTAGTGACACACGTAATTACATAAATAGGCAATAAATACAGTCTTATCTCTGATTTGGCCTTCTTTGCCAACATATTTATATCTTCCCCTTTATCAACTGGATGGATTTAGCCACAATCATGCAAAGAGACAGATTTTTTGCTTTTCTTTTTTCTCACCTAGAGAAAGGGGGCAAATCAATAGAATCACTTGTATGGATACCTTGAATAGCAGATAATTTAAACAAGCTTGTGATAATGAAGTTAGGATTTGTTAAATATTTCCAAATTAACTCACAGTGGAGACAAAATCTTCAATACACACCTAGTCTATTTCTTCCAGTTTATTTTCTTTGGAAGTATAAAATAGATGTCCCTTTAATGAGCAATGAAACTGCATTTCTGATTCAATAATTCTTAACCACCAAGTATGTGGTTCATTACTTGCTGGTTTTTCTCCTAAATATAAAGCCATATGCAAATATGTTTTGTTTTCACTGCTCAGCAACTAATTTCATAATAGCCTAAGAAGAATACAATTAGGAAGTGAAGCCAATTCTTTTAGCCCCTTCCTTTTCTTCTTTTCTCCCTACTTTTAATGTTTATACTAAAAAAAAGTCATCTTTTTATTTTGAAAAAGTTTATAACCTATAGAAAAACTGAAAATATAGTACCGCGAAATACTCACATACCTCTTCGTCTAGATTTACTCATTACCAGTATTTTCTCACTTTTGCTTTTTATTTCTTGATGTATATAAACTTTTTTGGCTGAGCCATTTGAAAATAAGTTGCTGACATCCTGCCATTTCACTCAGAATTATTTCTGTATACTTTCCCAACAAATAAGGGCATTCTCCCACATACTCACCATGTTATTATTATACCCAAGAAATATAATGGTAACTTAATAGTATCTCATATATAAACTTCCACCATTGCCACAAAAATATGACTTTTTTTTTTACTGATCAAGATGCAATGAGTGTTTATGCATTGCCTTTGGTTATGTCTTTTAAAAAATATATAACACACTTCTTGTCATTTTGGTTAGTTGGCTTTGTATGACATGACATGTTTTTATCAGTTCAGTCCCATTGTCTGATAGAATTTCCCATATTCTGAATTTGTCTGGTTGTTTCATTACTGTTAGAATTAGTACAGATGATGTAGTATACTTCCTAATAGGTATTTTAACCCTTCACACATATAAACTGTTCCCTAAAAAAAGCAAACTCATTTTGTCTTGAAAAAGAAGCTTAGAATTGTATTTTGAAAGTCATGTTGGGACCCAGATCTTTAAGGACAAGTCATCAAGTTGCTTTAAAAAAATAAATGTTCTATCTGTTTCAATTCAACTTGTGCTAAGCAGCTGGGTACAGAAAATAAAAAGATGAGCAAAAATGGTCCCTGTCTTCCGTAGGTTCAAATCTAGGGCATGAGAAAAACCTGAGTGATTATACTCAAGGGAGACAGATAAGCACAGGCGAAAACTCCCAAGAGAACAGAGGAAATAAAGATTAATTTAATCTGGGAGGATCTGGAGAGGTGTCACAAAGAGTTGGAATGTGAAGAGACTTAATCCCTATGTCTTTTAAAACGTGAACAGTGTCTTGGTGGGGAGAGAACACAGGTGTTACCATGTGGGCTCAGCAGAGTGAGAGAAAAGGTGGGATACAGACTGAAGAAGGATTTGGGTAGATTTTGAATGTTAGGCTAAATCTGAATTTGACTGTATGCATATTCATTCTAAGTATATCATTGGTTTCTATTTAGGTAGTTGTGGTGCATTATGTGATTAGGTCTAATTCAGAAAGATAGCTGTACTGGATTGTGTTGGTTAGAGCAGTTACTAAAGAAGCTATTGCAAGAATCCAGGTAGGTGGTAATAAAGCCTGAAGATGATATGGAACCTAGAAGAACTGGCTACTGCTCGGATATGGGGAGCAAGGGAGTCAAGTGTGATTTTTAAAAGGACTTATATGCCTATAGTACAATATGAATTAAGATGCCTAAAACATGCAGTCTGTGTCTAAATCTAGACTCCAAGACAAGTTCCCAGCCAAATCTTGTAGAGGCTGTTGGAAGTAAGTCATCATACTATATTCACTGCCAAATGAGGATTTGGGATCCTATCCAGCAGTCCACCCAGACACTTCATATTCTCAGCAGCAGGGTAATGAGTGATAGGGAACACCACAGAGAAAGAAATTAGATTCCAGTTAATGGGCTGAGAAGCAAATGTTAGAACTGGGGTCTCAAGCTCAAATACTTATGGGACCAGGCAGATAAGGGAGTAAAATAGATCAAAATAAGCAGAAACCAGCCATGCAAGTATACTGATAACTGACAACTGACCCTTAGTCTTGGTGTCAGAGAGCAGAAGTAGCAGATGATTGAGCAAACCAGAAGGTGTGTGTCCTTCCAAGGGGTGGAGCCACCCAACAGGTGGAATCGCTCCACTTCCTCCAAGAATGTGGGCTCAGTATTGAAAAAAATTGCCTATTTTAAAAGAGAAGCTGGAAAGGCAAATTTCAGTTTTAAATCTCATTTTAAAATGTTGCAACCAATTTGTATAAGAACACAACAAACAGAAAAATAAACCAAGACATTGGGTCAGGGACAAATAGCACACGTGTGAACACAATTCAGCTTGCAGGCCTGCACATGGCAGCACTGGGTTAAAGACTAGATTATAATAACCAGCAGGGTTTGAGGAAAGTAAAGACAATTTAAAAGAGAGTTGTTGGAAGGGCTGGAAAAATGTATCTGTATTAATAAATGAGTCCAGAGCACACAGCTGTGGGCATAGTCCAGCTGGGGGCAACTAGGAGTTAGGTTGGAAGTCTCTCCGTCAGAGAAAACAAGTACTACCCATATTTCCTTGATTATGGTCTTTAAATCTCTAAAGTTTTAATCATATTGAGTACCCCATTTTGCACAGATTTGGGGAAGAGTCATTCTCTTTAATAGTAATCTAATGTAGCTGTGATTTTTGGATTTGGTATTGACATTTCCTAGAGAATTCCAACAGATAAATGGATAAAAGCTGAGCTGCTGTGGTTAAATATGGGCATGTGGCTAGAGTTGGAGATGTAATGATGGGAACTTTGTCTTTCTTGAGATTGTCCCTGATACCTACAGCTTCTGAATTCTAGTATTCATATCACAGGCCTTCCTCTTGAAGTTAGACTGCATGTGACTTTATACTTCCTTGAAAGCTGCCGGTAGGAAGGGTTTCCACTCTTTTCCGTATGTTGTCAAGTCTGTTTCTGTGGTATTGCATTTCTTTTTGCTTTTAGTTTTAGAAAAATTCATGCACTGTCTTCAAAGCTGAATTTTATTATTTGTTTGTTAACAACTATCACTATGAAAACTTGAGGAAGATTTCCTGTCGAGTTTGGATTTTTTTTCTAAAAGCAGTGGAAAGCCACTTGAGAACTTTAAGCAGGGAAGTGACATTAACTGATTTTTGTTTTTAAAACATCATGTTGGCTGCTGTGTCAATGATTGTAGAAGAGCAGGAGTGGGAAACAAGGATACCAAGTAGGACATTACTGCAGGAGCCCACGGACAAGGTGGTGTTGGCTCGGACTGAGAGGTAGTAATGGATATGACGGCGTCTTGCCAGTGGGTTTCAGTCCCCGGGCAAGTTCACTATAGATTCAATAAGACCGAAAAAATGACAATGGAAAGGCCTTGGGGTGAAAGGGTTTATATCCAACTTTATTCCCACAGTGGTGGGTCAGTCACTAGGATCCCATCCACTCAGAGTGAGTCTGCATGCAGAAAGCCAGTCTCTGCCTCCGGACCTTTCTGCCCCCACAGCTGTCTCAGTCTCTGTCCTCAGTGTTGCTGCCACTCCAGCCCCTGCTCTCCTGCAGCGGTGCAGCCCAGAGCACTGGGTGGAGCTCTTTATATAGAGTCAATAATAATGTATTGGCCACATGTGTGTAGTGATCAAGCCAATCAGGGCCAGATGAGAATCCTGGGCATAGGAACCTTGACTTTCTCCACACTCCACCCCTTCAGGATTCTCGCTTCTCAATCTCTGCACCCTCAAATCTTCTGCAATGGTTACCGTGCAAGAAAGCTGGAACATTGTAACCATTCCACAATAACAAAAGAAGAAAAATTAGACAGATTATAATAACCCTCAAGCCTGAGGAGATCCATTGCCACCAAGTGGTCATCCTGGCTGTATTCAAACCAGTTCTACTCAGATGAGTTAACAAAAAGGACCATGGGTGGGCCTTACAATACCCACTTTCTCCAGCCTCCAGCAGGAAGTCTTACAGACACACAGGCTGGTCTTGTCACTTTGTCTCTTGACTCCTGTTTCATCCTCAGTGGCCAGAACCCCTGATCAGGTTTCAACTGTTGCCACAACTCCAGTAAGATCCTATTTGACTTTCCATCCAGTTTCTTTCTGCTCCTGCCTTGATCAAATCAACCCACATCTGGGTCCTCCTGACCTTCACAGGGACCTTTAAATTCTTCCTTTGAGTGAGAAGACTGTATCTCTTTTTGTGCTTTCATTGCTTGAAACTGAGGATAGAAGAAGAGCGCGGAGAGGCTCCACGACCTGGGGTGGGGACTGCACCTCTCCTGGAGGAACCCACAGTTGCCAAATCTTTATTTCCTTTTAGGCTTCCCACCAGCTTTCAACCAGGTGGGGTTTCAACCAAGGAGGGGCTGATGTCTCTGGCACTGCAAGGCCTCCACCCCCGCCTGTTCGTCAAACTGGGCTCCTCCATTTCTGGGGCTGACGGCTCCACTGCATCCTTCACCTGCCAGCCTGCACTCTCGGGCTGCTGCTTCTCTGGCTACCACAACATCCCTTACCATTTCCGTAGCACCTGGTAGTGACACCATTTCAGTCATCAACAAATTTTTTACCTCCTCTAAGGCACCTCACAGCTCATGTTCTCATGCTGCCTCTTCTCGTGCTTCCTGCAGGAGGACATCTTTCTTCCTTATGACCTTTCTTAATATTGTGAGAAAAAAAAACTCTGCACAGTTCCCATTGCCTCACAGGCACTCTGTTTCTCTAAGGAATTCCTTATTTTGCTGAGGGCCAACTTTACTGCCTTAGGTGTGGCCTCCACCCATTGCCAGTCTTGGGGTGGGGCCCAGTCCTCTAGGAGGCTAGACATGGTGGACCACATGTCCACTGGGAGACATTCGAAGGTCTCCCGATCCGTAGGAGCAGCCAGCTGAAGCACC